CTTTGCTTTGGCTCTGGCTTGTCCCCATGCTGTCACAACCATGGAGGTGTCAGCATGTGCTAGGAGGGGGCCAGGATAGCGTTACCTGTGGAGGATGCTGTTTGGGTCCCATGCTGCCCACCCCCAGGGTCTGCCCTTTCAGGAGGAAGCCCAGTCTCTCCCCCAGTTCCTTCCACCCGGTGTACGTACCACAACAGCAGCAGTAACATACAGATAAGGGAGGGTTCGCCTCATTCTTTCAAAATGGGAAGAAGTAAGGAGGAGGAAGGTCCACAGCTGTGCTGGGCAACAGGGCTGGGTGGGGGAAGGGGTGTGCACCCTCAGGCCCAGTCTTCTCCTCCTCCAAACTCCCCTTTTCCTCTATCAGCGAGCCAGTGGGGATCCCCCACATTCCCACCTACTACTGCTGGACTTCCATGGCCACCCTTCCCTCCTGATGCTATGTGAGCTTAGGGGAGAGGAGCTGCTGGTCATCCTCAGCATGGTGACACCAGCCTTGGTAGGACTGGGGTTGCTTTGCAGTTACGCTCATCACCTCACCCTGCTCCTACCTGGGTCCTACAACCCTGCAAGGAAGCCCACCAGCACTGGGAGCAGGCTTTTCCATTGGTCCATGTGGGCAGAATTTAGCCATTTTGCAGTGTCCCAATGCAGGATGGATGGAGACAGCACAGCCCTGTTAGATGGCATATGTGTGTGCCTGTCAGGGAGAGAATTTAAGTGGTGTGGGAGAGAAGAAGTAGGGTTGAAAAAGAGGAGCAGAAGACCAGCAGCAGCCTTGGGCGGGCTGTGCTATGGGCAGCAGCCTGTGCAGGCAATAGGATGGAGGTGAGTCCTGAAGGGGAATTTGGATCAAGAGAGATGGTCAAACCAAACCAGGGAGATTTTTGCACCCAGAGGGGCAGTGTGGGAGAAAACAGCAAGTGTAAGGCAAAAGGTGGACAGGAGTCTGAGTCTAAAACCAGCCCTTTTCTTGTTTCCTCCTGCTCTGGGCAAGGGCAAGTTCCCCTCTGCTCCTCACCCTCCTGCTGGAGACAGGGTGTCCCTTGGCTGTTAGCTCCTAGCTGTTCTGTTCTCAAAGATGTCACCTTGTTAGGCTTTCGCCTCTGTTTCTGTAAAGGGCTGTCATGCCTTTTAACACCCTCACCTCTGAGCTTTTCTCACTTCACTCCCTCTTAGAAATTTTTCAGATCTTGCTCCCCTTCTCCATGTCTCCTTCTCCTTGCAGCTTTGCATCACCAGCTCAGCTCTTGTGCTCTGCCCTATCATAGACCTCACTTGCTGGCCTAACCTACATACACCTTTTAGCCTGCTTTGCTAAGGAAAATAAGCAAATCTTAGCAAATAAGCAAATATGAGCAAGTTGCCTGTGTGTATGAGTGTCTGCCCAAAGTTGTTCCCGCTGTACAGGCATGTCAAGGCATCAGAGATGTCCCACCTAGTTTCTTGAAATCAGTAGCCAAATAAAAATAGAGGCCCCTCTGAGGGAGATGATCATCTGTATCAGAGACTCCTCAAAAGGCTGTGACAGAAGCAGCCAGGCTCTGCCCATCCTTCTCTGTTCATGTGATGAGTTACCTTCTCTGCTGCATCCTACAGACTGGCCTCCGCCTCCATATGGACCGTTTACTTGGGCAAATATTTGCAGAATGCCACCAGCCACACAGAGGTGTCCTTCAAGGTTATCCGCCTCTTCCTCCACCCTTATTACGAGGAGGATAGCCACGATTATGATGTGGCCCTGCTCCAGCTGGACCATCCTGTGATCATCTCGCCCTTAATCCAGCCCATCTGCTTGCCTGCTCCTTCTCACCTCTTTGAGCCTGGTCTTCATTGCTGGATCACTGGCTGGGGAGCCCTCAAGGAAGGTGGTAGGTGCAAGGTCTTTGCTGGTGGCCTACTGTAGCAAAGCCAAGGCAGAAACAGCTTCAGATGTGGCATAGGCAGAATAGGCTTCTGTTCACCCCAAAGCATTATGCCTCCTTCACCCCCTTTGATTTTGGGTCACAGGTTGGCCAAAGTTACCTGTTGAGTGCCTTGAAACCTCATTCAGTTTCACTCCTTCACACACTCGCTCCAGCTGCTTCCTAAATGGAAACACTCAGGGGTCTATCCAGAACTGGACATTCCTGCTTTGTATGCTTAGCTGGAAGAGCTTAAAGCCCATTTCAATGAGAAGCAAGCCCAAAACTCTCACATCCCAGAGGTTTCCCCAAACCAGAATCCACCTTGTCCCAAAAGCTGAAGTATCCACAACATAACCCTGTAGGGAAAGGGCCTGAAGGGGAATGTTACTCCTTCCATGCAGGTGAAGTAGTCGGCTGAAAGTCAGAGACAGTGATGCCAGCGGAGAGAACAGAAATTCAGATGGCAGCTTTCTGCATGCAGTGAGATGGGCATGGGCTGGGGGATCACGGTAAACAGTGGGAAGTTCCACCATTGCTCACCTGAACTACTTTTGGTACTCTACCCCTCAGGGCACATCAGTAATGTTCTGCAGAAGGTGGATGTGCAGCTCATCCAGCAGGACATCTGCAGTGAGGCCTATCACTACATGATTTCTCCCAGGATGTTGTGTGCTGGGTACCAAAAGGGCAAGAAGGACGCCTGCCAGGTGATGGATGAGTTGTGGGATCAGGGTTGACTACCAGAGGCGGGGTGTGTCCCAAGTCTCCCAAATGCACTCCATAGCCTGAAATGAAGGTGAAAAGACCATAAAATGCCTGACTCCCCCAACACTTTCTCTGATTGAAGTGGCCAACAACACTTCTTCCCAGCATACTTGCCTTAGACAAGATCCAAATACACTTAAATTTCTCCTTTTCTCATTTCAGCCCATTGTCCACTCTTTACCTCCCACTTTCAAGTCACTTGTCTACATCAGTCTCCTATCCCTCAGCCTCTTTAGCATCTGTCACACACAGTTACCTGTCTGTTCCTTTATCACTATCAATCTCACGGAATTCCTCTGTCTCCCATCTCTCCATGTATCTGGTTAAATTCCACCAGCTTCCTTGCTCTCCACGTATTTGGAGATGCCACATGGAGCAGAGGGAAACAATAGAGCTTCAGCTTCTTGGGACCTGGCTAAGGGGGAGGAATTTGCATGATGAAGGAATGCGACAATGGGTCAGATGTTTGCACTGCAGACTGTTTTTGACATCTGCCTAAGGTACAAGGAATGTTGCAGATGTCCCACGCATGAGTTGAGGGGATACAGGAACCTGCATACAGCAGGACTGAAAGCCAATGTAATCATCCAGCTGGAGAAGCTGGTGGATCACCATCACCCCATTTTTCTTTCCTTTTCTCTAGGGTGATTCTGGAGGTCCGCTGGCCTGCAAGGAACCCAGTGGCAGGTGGTTTCTGGCTGGTTTAGTCAGCTGGGGAATGGGATGCGCACGTCCAAATCAGTATGGAGTATACACCAGGATCACTCAAGTGCTGGGCTGGATGAACCAAACCATGAGCTGAGAAAAGTGCATCTCTGCCTTCTCCCCATCAGACTTACACTCACATGGCACTCATTCCTGATCTTGTTCACTTGCCTCTCAGAGAAAGAGAGTTTCTGTATGGGATGTTGTCAGGCCCAGGATGCTCTTCTGAGCAGGGTAAAAGAAGCCTGTGGTGGGGATTGTAGAGAAAAGCAGGCAGACCCTCTTCCCACTCAGTGCTTCCCAGGGAGCATCCCAAGGTGTTTTTAGGCCATCCATCCAAAAAAGCTGGGGGGGGGGCGACGATGACATGACACACAGCAACGGTCCCAAGCTGATGGTTTCTGAGAAAAGGAATGATGGAAGTTGAACTTGCCATGAACCATGTGATTCAGCCACAACCTTACGCTGGAACATTTGCTGAAAGAAAATGTGACTGATGTAGTTAGAGATTCCAGTAACTGTGAAATCAATCTGCCTCCCTTTTCCTTCCTGCTGCTCGTCCTTCTTCCCCCTTCCCCTCCCATCACTCCTCCTCTTCCATCTCCCTAATTGCTTCTTTTCTTAGCTGGCATGTGCTGTTCAGTGTGCTGTTCAGCTCAGCCAGGCAACTCTTCACGTCTCACTGACTCCCAGGCACAAATCCAGCATCACACCCTGCAAGCGTGTGTTGTGCCCCCCTGATGGAGCAGCACCCAGCCTCTATCACTGCACTTTCCTCAGGGAAAGGCCCCAGCCCTCAGTAAAAACATTGGAGCAGCCCCCCATCCCCTTCCCTCAGCCCTTCTAAATACCTTTAATATGAGGGCACCTCGACTGCTTCCATCTCCTAACTCAGATAATCCAGGAGGTGAAGGAGAAGGCTTCAGGCTTAAACAGTGACTGCTGTGGGTTTGGGTTTTTTACTAAAGATATACATATATATATGTGTGTGCGTGTGTGTGTGTATATATACAATGGGTCACTCTCTGGAATCAGAAATAAAATTAATTTGAGGACTTTTTTGGGCTCTAGTTTGCCTTACTCTGTTAAAAATTATCTTGGGGTTTGTATCTTTTTGACCAAACTCCAACCCTGGCATTGGCAACTGGGAAAAGTTTCCACACCCCTGCCCTCCCTCTCAGCTGTCTCTCAGGCGCAGTGGGGTCAATACACTAGCTAGATAGGTGGCCCTCCCTTATTGTTATGATTTAGGGGTGCAGATACCAATAAGCAAACCTGGTCTGTAGCCCAGCTGCCTGCAGCGGGGATGCAGCCCAGATGCAGCGGGAAGTCCCTCCAGCCCCCAGAAGACAGGAGCAGCACAAGCAGCTTCTGATGGCTCCAGGCGATGAATCCAAACTCCTCTTCTCCAGCTCCCATCCCCTTCTACCAGCACCAAATTTTTGCCACTTGAAATGAGAGGCGGCAAGGAGGAACAGACTGTGAACTTTATTCAGGAGTTACAACCTGGTGTCCTCGGACATAGCAGTGAAGCAAACGCCCCGCTCCCCGAGACCGGGATCTCCTGGTGCTACCTGTCACGACATCGGGTGCCAGCGTGTTCCCGGTACGCGGGCAGCACGCCTGTCTCCTCCTCACCCTGCCAACACAGGGCTGCTTTGGGGGACAAGGGAAGGAGGCACCAAGGAGCGTGATACCCAGCGCAGGGACACCCCAGGAGCAGTGCAGGTGGCCCAGAAAAGGGCTGTGGCTCTGCACTTGCCCTCTGGCCACAAGCCCAGACCAGCTGCCTGCAACAGCCAAAGGGCAAGGACTGGTCCTTCCTCAGCTGCCACCACTGACTCGGGGTCCCAGTCGCATCCAGGGTGTTCAGAAGGGACCGCAGGCTGCAGTGGCTGATCGCTGATGTCCCCAGCAGGGGCCACTGTGACATTAAGGAAAGCCAGGCTGCTAGGCATGGGAGGGGGCCATGGGCTCCAGCCCCTCGAACAGCCCAGGGGCTCCATGGATCATCTACCCTTCTCCAGGGCTGGAGGTTCAGGCCTCCCAGGTGAGTTTGTAAAAAAGAATGGCTGCGTGTGAAGCGTGAAGTGTCACTGTGAGGCAGGGGGCTGCCGTACACTGCAGTACAAAAATAAAGATATAAACAAGAAATGAAAAGGCCGGAGTGGAGTGTCGGGATCACATCCTCAGACCTCTGGCTTGCAACAGCTAGAGAAGGAGAGAGAAGGAGAGAAAGCAAATCAACGGCAGGAATAAAAAGCGATTGAGCATGGAAGGGAGAGTGAGAAACAGGAAGAGGGAAATGACAGAGGAAATGAGAATGGAAGAAAAAGAAAAGAGATGAGGAGTGAGGGTGGGAGAACAGAGAAAAAGGAAGAAAAAGGCTGCACGATTAACATACACTGACTTTTAAGAGAATAACACTCAGGTCCCACAACCATGGACAAGGAGGCTCTCGAACAGAGGGAGAGACAAATGTCAGCCAGCTAACAAGATCCCTCCACCAGGACGGAGAGTGGCACTGAGCACCTCCAGTTTAACAAGACCCCCACCGTTTTCCAGTACAAGAGAGGATGCTCCTTCTAAACCTTTCTGTACCCAGCCCCATGCACGCCAGGAGGCAGAGCACAGAGGCTCAATTCGCACACAGCTGCGAGAACATCTGGAGCAGGGACCAGCCGCTTCTGCTTTGCCTTCGCCACCCTCTCCCACTGCGCTCTCGCCCTGGCAGAGGCGGTGGGGGAAAAGCCCAGGGAAGCGAGAGCGGGGAGGGGAAAATAACAGGCTGCCTTCTGCAAACTGCTCTCAGGCTGGCAGGCAAAGGAGCTGCGGACAGCAGTCTGGAGAAGCGATCTGGCATGCATGTCAGGCAGCCACATGGCAGACTTCCCCCGCTTCCCCGTGCCACCCCTGCCTGCTTTGCATTCATTTCCACCCCTCTTCATTTCTGCCAGCTGTGCTCTCCTTTCTGCTGCCAGAGCCTCTGGTCTGGAGCCGTAGGGCCTGCTTGGCAGGTAAAGGCACACATAGGATGAGAATTGGAAAAGCTACCTTAGGGATGAGTCAACCTCCCCTCCCTCCTTCCCCTCCCCAAGCTCTACAAACCAGGGCCATACCCACAAGAGGGAAGTGAGTCACTCATGCAGAGCTCAGGCTGGCGGGAGCTGAGAGTGCGGACAGGTAACATACCTGCAGAGGAGGAAAAGTGAGGAGCAGAGAGAGACAGGGGCCCCGGCAGGGACCACTCTGAGCCCTGGGGGTTGAAAGAGAGCAGAGGGAAGGATGCTGGAGGCTGGGGAGTGGGGCAGAGTGGGAGGTAGGGGACAGTGCTGGGATGGACACGGAGGGGAGCAGGAGGGAGGGTCCGGAGGAAGGAAGAGTTTAGTGCAATCCCGAATAGACGGACAGTCTGCAAATAAAAATATAACCGTAAATAAACCAAACAGTTTAAAATACAAAGCAGCAGCCACGGTAACAGCTCTCCCCCGTCAGCTTTATCTCCAGAGAGACTCCTGCTCCTGGAGAGTACTGCCCCGAAACCCCATATCTGCCCTAGTCCTTCCCTGCAGCTAGCTGTGAGCTCTCACCAGAAAGGTGGACGGGTCTATGCTTGGGGGGGTATTTTTATCATTTTCCTCAAGGATTTGCTGCACCTTTCTCCTCTGCTTCTGCTTCTGCCTCTGCCTCCTCCTCCACCTCCTGCTCCTCCTCTTCCAGGTCCTCCTCTGTGCTCTGTGGCCCAGCATGCAGGACAAAGGGAAGAAACAGTGGAGATACTTGCAAGATGAGCCATGGCAGTTCTTTCTGACACACAAAGGAATAAAGCAATGGTCATGACACTGGAATAAAAAGGGACCTTCCCCCATGGCCAAGACAGCTCTAGGTCAGGGAGCAAAGAGACTTGTCTTCCTCTGGAGCATCACGTCCAGGGCTACCTAATCCACTTACAAGTGCTGTGATCACACTGCCAACAACTGCCATCAGTTGCTAGTGCTCCTTCCTGTATCCTACGTGTCTACGGGATGTCAGGCACTGCCACACTTTTCTGTCCTTCCCTCAAAAGGGGAGAAGGTGATCTCCTGCCCCTTTAGGCTGGGACTCAGCAAAAGGAAAGAGAACGCTGCAAAACCTTCAGGGAAATCACAGCCTAGAGGCAGAGTGATGCACACAGCATGGTCATGAGGAGGCATGAGGGGGATGTTAGAGTAGCATGAGAAGTGCCAGGATCACTTGCTAAAGCCATTTGCCACACACTCTCAACACACACACTCCTCCATTCGGGCAATGGGTATATGCCACGGTGCTGAACACCAGGACAAGCCCCTGTATTTCACCACCGAGATGACCCACAGTCACAGTGGAGAGAGGAAAGAAAGAAGGAGCAAACAAGAGTGAAGGATCTCATAGGCAACGGGAGCAGGGCCATAGCAAAGTTGGTCTCACCTTGGCTTTGTGGCTGGGCTCAGAGCTCAGGCCATTGGGGGAGTTGTAAAGCTCTTTGGAGACCACGCACAGGAACTCTGTCTGATCCTCATTCCCGTAGTTATAGGATGAGCCAATGTTCACAAGCTAGAAAAGGCGACAGCAAGAATCACAAGCACATGTTATTGCAAACATCCACTCCACCTGGGGAGCAAGGCAGAAGGCCCCATCACGCAGCATGGAGTCCAATCCATACCCTCAACAGAAAGGCGTCAAGCTGAGGAGGCACCACAGATCAGCCAGGATGCAAAACAGCTTAGCCTCAGACAATGTCCTCTAAACCTCTAGAGAAGAGGCAAGAGAGAGACAGTGTGACAGCACCATCAGTGACTGACCCGATATTCTCCGAGAGGCAAGGTGCCTTGCCCAGGGACTGTATGATATCCATGATCTTCTCCCCCAAAAGACAACTCCCCACCCTCCTCTACCTTCTCCATACCTGCTCAAAGCGCCATCCATCCGACATAGTGGACACCATCTGAGTGAGCTCCTCTTCCTGGCACTGTAGCACGCGGTAGACGTGCTTAGGAGGCACCTGACAGCAAAATTGCACGGCGTGTTGACAACGGTCAGATGCTAAAGACTGTCGCCCTCCTGCAGAATGAAGTGGTAGTACCCCTCCTTGGCAGACCTGTCCTCTTCCCCATGTCCCAGGTTAAAGGGGAGTGAAAACCACAACCCAACTTTCTGCTATGCTTTCACGGGGAGCAAGCACAATGGTATCTCTTCTGGAGAGGCGAGACTGAGCTGAGTGCTGCCTGCATTGTCCTCAGAAGATATTGGGCTTTTTCAGTGGGGAGTTGCATTTGTCGTTACAAAGTCATTTGTGCAAATGCCACAAATGTTGATGGGGTTTTGCCAGCACAAAGTAACTGTGTTGCTGGAGGCTTACAACCTGAGGCAGACATGACGAAAAGTGAGATTATCAGCCAACGCTCCCAGAAGACAGGTTTTAAAAGGTTATTGCCAAGACAAGGTGTGACTGTGCCACAGGATTGATCCCTTGTGCCTCACTGTCTGCATTTAACTCTTCCACAGACACCTCTTCACCTCTTCCCTCCAGGTTTCTCTATAGGTATCCCCATGCTCTTCCTTGTGATTACACCCCCAGGACTCCCCACACCAGAGCCCTCCTCTCCATGACACCTTTGTTCTCCTCACAAACATTCTTCCATATCCCACAGCAACCAGCTGCCTTCTTCCAAAAGCCAGAGGAGCTGATTTGGTTTCAGGGGCTACACCTAGCATTACTTCTGGGGATGCAAAGCAAGCCTGTAACTTGTTTATTGTAACTAAAATGGTGGTAGCCTGTCCCCTGCAAGATTTTGCTATGTAGACATTAGCACATAAACTCTTGATTAGTTGCTTCTTTCCATTCCTTGCTGCTTCTCCCAAGTCTACTCTCCCTAGACTCACCTCTCCCTTCCCACATTCCCTCCTTCACCCACCCCACTCTATCTTTCCTTGCCATTTCTCTCCATACCTGAGTTACTGTGTAGTCCTTCTCCTCCAGTTGATCCTTGATTATTCGGATTAAAGGACCAATGTTATAGAACTCAGCTTCTTCTAGGACCCCTGAGAAAGACAGACAGAAGGACCACAAAGACAGAAAGTTAACAGCCCATCTTTGGGTTTTGGCTTGCAAAAGATCAGTTCTGAGCTTCCCAAAGTCCATAGGGAGAAATGACACCGCAGCCTCACTTTTTAACAGGTTTCTGTTGCTTGAAACTCTTACTGCAGAGAATTGAACCCTGGCTCTCTGCATTGCATTTCTAAAGCTCACCCCAGTTTCCTTACGCTGCCCGCTACTACAGAAACAGGCACTGCCAGTGAAGGCTTGTGCCGAGGACTGCTAATACCTTTCCCAGCTAACTGGCCAAGGAGAATAAATGTAGGCTCCAGCCTCTCTCAATAACTACTAATTATGACCTTGTTCAGGCCCTCTACTTAAGGCAGAGAACCACAACTTGTTCTGACCTTGTCACCAGAAGACCCTGGAAAATCCCAACTTTCTTCCTGGGCCAGTTGGAGTTGCACCCACCTTGCAGCCCCATATGACTTCAGATGATCTTTGGCTCTCTCCCCTCTGCTTCACCTCAAAACAGGTAAATGGAGAAGTGTTTTGGTTTTTTTCTCTATGGTGTCTGCATCCATCACCTCTCCTGAGACTCACTTGTTTGCTAACAGGTCCTCAGGGAAAGGGAGGTGGGTTCCCGGAGAGTCAGCGAGGGAAAAGCGGCTAGGAGCCAACACTCCCATGTCCCCAGGGCAGCACCCAGACAGTGCAGGTGGGGAGATTAATCCTTCACTACATGACACACTCAGACCTCTTCCAAGTCCCTCATTCAGCTGTGAATCGTCTAAAGGGTTAGTTTTATGCCAGCTTGAGTGTCTGCCACAGGAACAAAAGTCAGCGTTAAGCTATGAACAGGACTCCTACTTATGCTTCAGATTTGACGTTAAAGCCTGTGGATGCACTCTGTCTGGATGAACTCTGAACCTCAGGATTACAAGAAATGTCAAGTAGGAGACACCTCAGAATTGTGTTTATTACAATTCTTTACCATTACTTAGATATATTTTTGGAATTGTAACTCATAAGATGATTCTGAAGAAAACTTTCCTTGCATTAGGTAAAAATATGTAAGAGAGAGGCAAGAAGACTAATGAACATGCAGAAATTGTGCTTGGCAAGGGCTGGACAGCACAGCCTGTCTTTGGAATTGGTTCCTTGTCAGACTCTAGCATCCAAAAAATAATGAGACATTGGGGACTGCTGGCTGGTAGCACCATGATGTTACTGAGTTATCCTGTTGGATCCCCTGTCAACCTCAAATGAGGGATTGGTTTGTCTGGCTTGCTCCACTGGAATTGCTGCAGTCCACAACCCATCAGAGCACTAGTAGCATACATTGCATATCACTGATTAATGATGGTCTTTAGTACGGTCAGTAGAAGAGATGAGCTTGGTTTTGTTTGGTCTTCTGGGTTTTCATTCCTAATTAGAAACACTCAGTCATTAACAGAAAACTTAGTCACAGACCCTGGTTGAAAGTGGATCAGGAACAAGTAAAAAATGGTTTATTGAGGCTGAGAGATCTTGCCTACTTCTGTCTTGGTGACATCTCTGCTGAACGAACAGTCGCGGAGCCACAAGACCTGTAGGATGCCTGCCTCACCTACTCTGAACCCCTTTAGTAAAGGAAAAATTGGTATGCTTTCCAAAAGCTGCAGGGATAGCCCTCTCAAATCCCCCCACATCAACCTCCAGAAGGAGAATGAGAGATAAGTGGGAAGTTTCTGAGCTCCAACACTCACCCTCTGCAGCCATATCTTTATCCAGGACCAGCTTCCCATGACGGAGGAAATTCAGGATGGGTCCAAAGTAAGTGGGGTCCCGGTCTATTAGGTATGCACCAGTCTCATCCTAGCAACAGAGATAGACCACAAGGAGAAAAACCCCATGGGAAACTTATAACCAACCCTCAAATGCTCCAGACTATAAGAAAATACAAACCTAAGCAAAAATGTCCGCTATTTCTAAGACTCCTCGGAAACCATGGGCCCCTGAGGGTCCTTAGCCAAGTCAGCCCAGCTTGGGTTTTAATCCTGTATTGGTAAGCTCAGCGTGCCCACCTCAGCATGGACCAACCCAGCTGAGCAAGCCAAAAAAATAGGCCTCGGTCTCCTTCTGCAACTCTGCGTACAGGCCTGGTGTGAGAGGGCAGAGAGCCCCTTTTAGGGGACAAGACTGAGTCAGGCAGATCCAGCTGGGAGGCAGACCCAGGGGATGTGGGGAGAGGACCGGTGGAGGGGAGACGGCATCTCTTTTCCCCAGCTCAGGAAGACTGATGCCAGGCTACAACACAGCAAGGTGGGATCTGGCAAGGGAAAATTCTTCCCGGGAGAGGGGAGGGAAAGAGCATGCATTTTTCATTCAGTTACTCCTGCAGCCGTCAGGTTCTGGCTTCATCCCTGCATCCCTCCAGCCCTCCCCATCCTCGGTGGGGCACGGTACGGGAGGCAACCCAGCTGCCTTACCCGGTCCGACTGCAGCTCCTCGCCCTGGCACAAGCGACACAGGAAAGATTTCTGCTCCCGACACAGGGTCTGCCTGGTGGTGAGGAAGACTGTGCCCCCCACGTTGAGCCTCACCCACTTGGCGTGGGTGCCAGCGGGTGACGAGATGTCCCAGGTGCAGCGTAGCCCCACGGCACCCTGCATCTCCTCCCTGCCCTCCATCCTCATCCTCCCCCCCCCGCCTCCCAGCGTGCAGGGATTGCCGCAGGTGCTGCCTGCAGGAGAATGCCGGGATCTGTAGTTTATCTGCCTCTGCCTCCACAGCAGCCGTGTTTCCTGGGGGCCAGGGTCCTCCCTGTGACCACCAAGGGAATCCTGAGGGGAGGAAGGATGCTCTGGGCCGGAGGATATTGCTGCGGCTATTGGGGGGGGGGGGGGGGGGCGGGGACAAGCCACCCCCC